ACCTGGGCACACTGCTGGCTCATGTTCAGCCAGCTGTTGACCAACATCCCCAGGTCCTTTTCCGCCAGGCAGCTTTCCAGCCACTCTTCCCTAAGCCTGTAGCGCTGCATGGGGTTGTTGTGGCCAAAGTGCAGGACCCGGCACTTGGCCTTGTTGAATCTCATACAGTTGGCCTCGGCCCATTGATCCAGCCTGTCCAGGTCCCTCTGCAACGTGCCCAGTTGCAGCAATCAACCCAGTATCTTTTCTCTTTTTTATTGAAGAGTGTGAAATGTCAGTTGCATGAGACTTACTGCAAATTCATTAAATGTAAATTTCTGGCAGATACTCTTCAGACGCTTCCCTAGCTTTTGCGTTCCAAACATGCAGAGTCAACATAAGCTGCTGGTAGTTGCCAGCAACGGTGCGTGTTTGTTTCCTGCTCTCCTGCGGTATTTTCTGTGCTGTCCGGTATTTCCAAACCTTAAGTATCTCTGGCATCCAAGAGTATTACATTAGTCTTGTACATACTGCCACCTGCTGTGATTAGCCAAAACAGAGCTAAAATACTCCATTTAAGCAGATTTCAGCTTTTTATAAAGTATAAAGGGGGCCAACATTTGCATTAAGCCATGCTTACCCTGAAACTGGAAACCTCCCATGGCTTCAGTCTACACATACATGATGTATACAACTACTAAGGAACTTTTTTATTTAATTACTTCCCTGTGAAGCCATTTAACTTTGTGCATAGCATGCGTAAATCATCCTTCTGATTCCATACACGCGAATCCACTTTGAACAAACACTCCTCTAGGCACGTTAAGGTATGTACAAACACACACACAAATGCACAGGTGATGTGGTGCAGGAAATGAGGGGACAGTGTCTGCCCTCAGGTGGCTTCCCTTGGACCTAAGTCTTGCCCAGCCAAGAGCAGAATTTGGCCCTGACCCCGCTGTCTTCAAAACTCAGATGGGTGTTCAGGACAGCGTTTAGATTTGTGCGCTCCTGCTGGGGCGGCCACGCTGTACAGATCATTTTATTAGCAGCATAATCACTTCCTCTTTTATGTCCCCACTCAGTAGTAATGAGCGCTCCAAGTACATTTTGGTAACGTGTCCTGCTGCAGGGCTTTGAACGCAGGCTTTGCCTTCGTGCCGATTTACATGCTTCAGCAGAACCAACCAAAGGAAGGATACTCCTGCTATCTGCATTACCCTTTTGCACATGAAAGCTGCAGTTTAAAAATAATATAGAAGAGTGGAAGCTGGTATGTTACTAATTAAACTTTTAAATCTCAACCAGCTCGTCTCCCTATTTTAGATACACACGTAGGGCAAGGAAGTTTAATTGCAAGACCTTTACTGGGGGCAGAATTGTTCTACACTTGGAAAATAACTACATTTTCAAAGTAAAATCGTCAAGTGGCCGAAGGTGGTAGGGCAAATCCCAGCCACCGCGAGGTTTACGTGCCTTGCAGAACACTTCTGGAGGTCGGAGCAGGGCCCGGGGCTGCCCGGGCCTTGCGGGGACACAGACCGCGGTGACAGGTGACGGCCGCCGGCGGGGGCACGCT